TGCCGCCCACCACACGCCCAGGCCTCCTCCCCATGGCCCACCCTGCCCCTCCCCTCCTTCCGGTTGGGCGTACGGGCACCCCCACTTCACCGTCCCCCCCACCAGACACCCTCCCCCTCGGCACGCCCCATCCAGGTCTCAGTCTGAACGCCTCCCACGCAGGCTCCAGCACCCACCCCACCATCCGAGGGCCACACAGATCAGGCCAGCCTGGGGCGGGGGCCTGGCCGTGAGAAGTTTGCCAAGGCCAGGCGTTCAGAGGCCCCTCCCCACTCTGCACTGCTCCCCACGTCCCCCTACCAGGGGCTGCAGGCCGCGCTCAGGGACTCCCTCCACCCTGAAAGTGGGCAAACGTGGGCCCCGAGGTCTGTCAATGCCAAGGACAGTGAACCCGAGCCCCTGTACGGTGCAGGCGGTACTGGCTGAGTGGGGGCCCTGTGGGGCCGGGGGTTCAGCAGGGGAGGGGTGCTTCAGTCCACCCTAGGCCTCCCTCAGCCAGGAACCAGAGCTCTCGCCAAGATAGTTCCCAGCAGCACCAGGGTTGCACCCCGGCCAGCCCCGGCTGCAGAAGCAGGTCTGGGAGGTCCACGGTCCCTGCCAGGGCCCGGCCCGCTGTGGGCGCCATCTCCTCCCTCCTCCCCAGTGGGGACTGAGCCTGAGTCCATCGGGGTAGCCCGGCACGGAGGGTAAGCTCGGCCTGCTGGCATCACGCCCACTTCCTGGCAGGGACGGGATGACGTCACGCGGGGATGGGCTTCCACAGGCGCTTGGCAGACCCCTGCCCTGCCGTCATCCCCGGGGGCCTCTCTCTACCGCCCGGGAAGAACACGCTGCCCCCACGGCTCCCCCGACTCTGGGTGGGAATGCCCCTCCCCCTCCCCCTGCAACGCTCCCATCTCGGCCCCATCTGTGTCTTTCCTTTCGTGCAGGATCAGCTGTGGGGGTGGGGAGGGGCTGCCTCCCCCACCCTACACTAGCCCAGGAGGCAGGGACACATCCGGCCCCACCCGGTCGGCACACAGGGCTCGGCGGGAACCCACATCTGCCCCAGGAACTCCACGAGGCCAGTTGGTGGCTTCAGAGACTAGTGGACCCGTCCCTGCAACTCTCCTTCCTGTCAGAGCGAGGGCATGGGCACCGGGGCCGAGGGGAGGCCGGGCGGGCCCCAGCAGGGACCAGCAGCCCAGAGTCCCTGACGGACATGGCGCCCCAGCACGGATGAGAGAAGCCAGGCCGAGGGTTGGGTGCAATCGGGAGCCACTGCTGTGTTCACATCCTGGTCCAGCAGGGCCAAAGGGACTTCCGTCTGTGATGGAGCCTGTGCTTGGCCCCACCTCCAGGGACCCCAGCTCGGAGCTCAGGCCCAGGGTTCATGGGACAGCTCCAGGCCATCCCGGGCACCTGACTTCCGACCGAGGCAGCTCCTCTGAGACCAGTTCGGTTGTTCTGATGCTGCTGAGACAGTGTTCAAGGGGGTCCCTCAAGGCAAGGTCAGCAGAAGAGCGGTCCATCCTGCCCACGTGGGACCTGGGGGCATGTGGAGCCCAGTGAGGCGGGAGCAGGCGGGACTGGCCCCTTCCGGACGGTGCCCTCTCAGTCCTGGGGGACAACCGGGGAGCAGCGTGACGGCCGAGTGTTCACAGATGCCGTGAAGGACTGTCTCAGGCTCGTCCCTACCCAGGCAGGGCTGTGCCAAACACGTGGCCATCATAGCCAGGACGGGCTCGCCCAGCTCTGCCCTTCAGCATCCGGATGACCTTGACACATCCTTCCCCCTCTCAGAGCTCCTGGACACGCGGCATTTGGAGCCTGGGCCTTGAGGGATGCCTCCAAGAGGGTCCTGCCGTCCCCAAGCCCCCAAGCACCCCCTGGGTCACCCTCTGGTCCCTACACACCCGCAGCCCGTCTCCCTCGCTCTCGCGGGGACTGAGGCCGGGTCCCCCTTCCTCCAAGCATTCCCAGGGGCCCTCCCGCCCCACCCGTGTGCCGGGATGGCAGCAGCTGTGTCGCAGGCGAAGCGGAGTCAGGAACCCCGGGATCCCGGGCAGCACATAACCCAGCCCGGCTACAACACAGATCCCACCCACCTTCCGCTATAAATAAACCTGTGTAGGAGACACAGCACTCGCCCCGAAAGTTCTAAGACAATTACATTTTTCAGAAGCAAATCAATAAAGATAAGGGCCGTCCTTGGAGGCTCCTCTGCCTGAGATGAAGTCACCCCAGCATGCACGTGTTTCCCGGTGCGGGAGTCTACCTGGGGGTTCCGGAAAGGTTCAAGGATAGAGGCGGGCCCGCCCCCAGCTTCCCGTGCTGACTGAACCCCGCTCAGGCTGGGCCTGGCGGACAGCGGCTGGGACTCTGCCAACCCCTGGGGAGCATGGAGTCACTTTACGGAATGTGGGTTCCCTGAGCAAATCCGATGATCCCTCCCTCTCAAGTTCACTCTTTCAGGAGGGAGTTGGGGCCTCACGGTGCAGAAGCTGAGGCCCTGGAAGGACCGTCTTGCTACAAGACACCCAGGGTTCCAGGCAAAGCCCTGGCCACATTGACCGCCCACCGCCGCGCCACCTCCTGCAGAGCCACCCCTCCCAACTCCCGGGAAGCTGCAGAGCTCTGGAAAGCCTCGGCCGTGGCCCACACGGGCTTCCCCGAGCCAGCCAATCCCCCACCTGTCCAGGCCTGCCAGCTTATTTTAGGTTCTCTCTGAGGCCGGGCATCTGCTGGAGGTCACACCCACCCCCGCTCGGCCGGGGGCCTCCCCAAGCCCACTCCCCCAGCAGAGGGGTGTTTCCACGGGGCCAAGAGTGAATCGATCCTGGGGTCTGAGTTTCACTTCCGACGTCTCTCAGGGTGGAGGGCATCGGGGGCACCCCGCATCACTGGGCTTGGGGCTGGGAGAGTCAGCACGTGCCAGAGGTGCCAGCGGTGAGGAGGGTGAGGGTCCGGCCAGCCGTGCTGCAGACAGACCCAGTCTCCAAGTGAGGGAGCAGGAGGCCGACCACCCATCGTCTCCCAGCCCCGGAGCCCCAGGGACACCAGGGTGCTCCCACCACAGGAACGGGCCACCATCTGCTCTTTCCAGGCTGAGAGCACCATCCAGCCCCCGAGATCAGGACAGCACCACGTCCCTCTCCGGCTACCAGAGCTTTCTCCTGTCAGGCCACGAAGCCCACGAGGACAGAGCCTCAGGACGCCCAGGGACAGGGCCTGGGTCACGTCACGCTGTTGGCCCCAATCCTCCTCTCCCGCCAGAGGGCTCATCCCACCTCTGTGAGGCCAGCCAGCCAACACCCTCCCTGCACACAGCAACACAAACCACCTCCCTGGAAGCCCTGAGGGACGCAGCCAGCCCAGAACACCAGGGCCAGGCTCCAAAACTCTCTTAGCCGAGAGGGGACAGAGAGAGCGGCCAGACCCGGGGCGGGAAGAGTCCAGTTCCTGCCTGGGGACAGGGCAGCGAGACCCAGGGCTGTGAGGACACAGTCCAGGCCCTGATCGGCTCTTTCTCGTCTCTGGCCTGCACACGTTTGGAAACAAGGAACACAGGCCTTGGCTTGGGGCCAGCCTCCTGTCCCAACCCCTCCAGTGCCCTCTAGCCCCTTCCCCTGGGCCTGCCAGCACCGCCCCAGTGACCCCGACACCCGGTCACTCTCCACCAGAACAAAGGGGCATGACCAGCTCCGCCTTGGCCAAGGAGAGGAGACGAACCTACAACCGCCCCTCAAGGCCAGGCTGGTTCCTCAGCCAAGGGCCAAGCCCTCAGCCCCCAGGGACGCCCGCCTGCCCACAGGCACCACCCTGGGGCTACTGAGGCGCCCAGGCTGGCTCTGCAGCGGGTAAGGGGCTCCAAGGCAGACCTCCGGCCAGGCCCGCTGCCCCTGGGACCCCACAGCCTCCTCTTCCTCCAAGCAGAGATGAGTCTGACTCACTGGATGTTTGGATTTGGGAAGGAGAAACACCGGCTTTATGACTTTTTTGGTACAGATTCCGCTTTTGTGTTTAATATTTGTACAGTTAAACACACAAGATAGGAAAGCGTACACATGCCGCTCCTGCTCCCAGCCCGCCTCCCACCTCCGACGGGGGATGTCTGGGCACAGGGTCCACCCTGTCCTGGGCAGCCCACCACCCATCCCCAGGTCTGGAGCGGCAGCCACCGCCTGGCCACCCAGCTGCTAGCTCAGAAGGGTCGGTAAGGAGACACGGCCTGGACACAGGCACAGAGCAAGGCCTTTCTCAGGCTGGGCGGAGACCCACCCCAAAGACTACCTGCTGAGGGGGGAGTGGTCCACGCCACCGTGTGCATCCCAGAAATGCCCCTGGCCCTGACCCAACTCTGTTCTGGAACCTTCTCTGAAAGTCTGTGCCACTCTCTTCAGAAGTAGAAAAGGCTGCCCCTTCCTCTCCGGCCAGGGAGGGGGGCTGGGGATAAGGGACTCCCCCGGGCAGTGCCAGCTGCCTCCCTGCCCCCCACCCCCAAGCTGCGCATGACTTAAATCAGCCGCGGCACCGAGTTCAGCCTGAAAAAGCAAGTTCACAACCAACGTCACCGCCTCTCTCCATGGAAAAGGCCCTGGCAGCGCTCACAGGCCCCACGGGTCTCCCCCACGCACACAGAACCACCAGGCATCGGCTGAAAAGTTTGCACCCCTGACTCCAGCTCCTCCAGCCTCCCCGCCCTCTCCCGCCCCCGAGAAGGGCCTGCCTTGGGCCGGACCTTTAGAAAACAAGGGGTGGGTGGGCAAGGGGAAATTCCCATCCGGGACAACACCCTATGGGACTCGAGGAGTTACGACCTTCCTTTCTTCCCTCCCTCCCTGGTTCCTCTCCCCTCCAAGCCCTCGGTGGCTCCCGGCTCCGTTTCCACCTTCTCCGTCCGGAGCCAGCTCTGGGACAGGAAGCCCCGTGGCCCCCCCAAGCCCGCCCCACCGCCACCAGGCTCTGAAGAGCGCCGTCCTCCAGCCCCTGCCCTACTCCCCCGCGCGCCCAAACCACACCAGGTCCCACGAACAAGGGCGTGCGCGCGGGGGCGCACGCCGAGGGAGTCTTTCGCCCCGGACCCCGTGCCCGCCCCCTGCCCCCCGCCGGCCGGGAAGGATATGGGTTGCAGACCAGTCGGAGGCACCAGCTGCGCGGCCGCGTGGTCTGCCCGAGGCAGAAGAAGACCGTGGCCGCCAGGGCCGGGTACGGGACGCGCTGCTCCTCGTCGGCGCCCAGCTCCGCGCCGCGCTCGGCCGCCGGACTCTCGGGGGGCGACGCGCCGGGCTCGGACCCCCGCTCCGCCTCGCGTCCCGGCGCCCCGGGGCTCGCCGGGGACGCCCCCGCCGCCGCCGCCGCCGCCGCCGCCGCCGGACCAGGGTGCGGCGCGCCCAGGGGCACCCGGACCTCGTCGGCTGCCTGTGCGCCCTCGATCATGGTGGCGGCCGGCAGCACCTGCGGAGGACAGGGGGTGACCTGGGGCCGTGGCAACGCCCCCGCCCTGCCTCCGCCGGCGCGGAGCTGTGGGAACAGCCGCGGCCGCCGGGATGTCTTTGTCTTTTCTTATTAGAGACGAACGCGCCCCCCGCCCCCGCCCGCCCCCTCCCTCCCTCCCTCCCTCCGGCAAGGGCCGCGCGGCCCCACCCCCACCCCCACCCCGAGGGGAAGCCGGGCGAGCGCTCCGGGGCTCCCTGGCCGGCTCCGCGCGAGTTGAAGACGGTCCCGGGCGCGCAGTGGGGCGCGTATCCTCGCCGCGTCTCACCTCGCTCTGCTGGCCGGCGGCGTCCCCGCGGGCATCGCCCGGTCACCGTGGACCCCGCTCGGCGCCCGGCCCCGGCCCCGCGCCCCTAGCCCGCCCGGCCCCCGGCTCCTGGCCGCAGCTGGACTCCGGCTCCGGCTCGCCCGGGGGAGGTGACGGCGGCGACCCCGGCGCGGCGCTGAGGCTGCCGGGCGGACGGGCGAGGCCGGGGCGGGGGGCACGGGGCGCGGGGCCGGGGGCCGGCGAGGCGGCGAGCGAGCCTCGAGCCGGTCCGCGCGCAGCGCAGGAAACTTCGGGCTGAGCGGCGGGGGGCGGGGCCGGGGCCGGGGCGGGGCCGGGCACGCGGGGGCGGGGCCAGGGCTGCCAGGAGAGGGGCGGGGCCGGGGGCGGGGCCAGGGCTGCCGGGAGAGGGGCGGGGCCGGCGCGGGGCAGAGAAGGGGGCGCCGGGGAGGATCCGCCCCCGGCCCGAGATGCGCGCGCCCAAGGTACCCCTTCCCATCGCAGCCCGGCGTCCTGCCCCCACCCTGGGTCCGGGAATTGGACCCCGCCCTCGCCCCCTCCGCTCCCCGCCACTGCGCTCCCTGCTCTTCGCGCTCCCGGCTCTCCGTGCTTCCCCCAGTGCCGGGCGCGGGGAGCACCAGGGGGCGCTCGCGGGAGGCTCCGGCGGGGTGGGAGGGGGAGCACCTACGTCCTTCCCCGCCCCCAACTGCGGGGGCGGCCGAGCCGCAGATGCCGCGCCCCTCCCCCTCCCCCCGCCTCCCTTCCCCCTCCCCCTCTCGCTCCCGCTCCCCGTCTCCGCGCGCCGCTGCCGTCGCCCCCGCTGCGATGCCGGCCGGGGTCGGCGGAGGGGCGGGGACCCGGCGGGCGTGGAAGGCGAGCCGCGGCCGTGACCGAGAGGGTGCGCGCCCCGCCCCCCGCGCGTGTGTCCTGTGTGTGCCCGCGCGCGTGGGTGAGGGACGCGGGGGCGGGTGGGATGTCCTTTGCGCTGGGAGTCCGCGGGTGGGTTTCTGGGCACTCCTGCATTCGCGTCCCTCCACGACACGCACACGCGCGCACGGGCAGGTTCCGCGAACTTGTCCCCGTGCCCAGTCCCCTCCCGCGTGGGGCTCTGGGGGACCCTGGGGACGGCGGGCTGGTCCTCCTGCACCCCCACCCCCGCTGTCACACTAGACGCACCAAGGATCCCCCAGGAGAAGTGCAGGCCCCTCGCCCTGCCAGCAGCTGCGCTCCTTCAATCAGGCGTGTGGAGGAGCCTTCCCCTGGGACCCGGAGCAAGTGGCTTGATCCGGAAGGGGTGGCCCCTTCCAACACTGGGGAGGGCCTGGCCCGTGTCCCAGGGAGGGGTCGCCGCACCTCGAGGTGCCAGCAGATGGGGGCAGGTGTCCAGGCCCCCGAACCCCCCTCCCCCGGAGCAACCCTCCAGGCTAGAAGGGTGTTTCTGCTTTCAGGACCACCCCTTTGTGCACTGGGAACCTTCAGCTCCCAGATCTGCGCCCCAGCACGCCCACCAACAAGGGGCTCTCCGTAGTCGGAGAGACGACTCCTCCCATTAGACAAAGAGGCTCGGCTCCAGGGCCCTTGGGGTGGGCAGAGGGCCAGGAAGACCCCAGAACTGGAGAGGCTGTGGGGAGGCTGTGGCTTCCCACCTGCGGTGAGCAGCAGAGAAGCAGGACCTCCGATGGGTTGGCCACGCCATGCAGGGAGAAGACCAGACCTTGCCTAGCTGGGGCCCAGAGGGGCACACAGCACGTGGGATGGGCCAGCGAACTGGAAGGCAGGAGCGTGGGGTCCCAGCTGGGGTACAGGCCCATTCAGCAGCACCTCCTCTGTATGTGCGAACTCCTCAAGAAAAGGAAAACATTTACTCTTTTTTTAATGCAGCTGCTCAGCGATGGAGGGCCCCAGCTGGAGAGTGAGGTCTTCAAAGAGCAATTAAGTCCCCAGCCACAGAGGCGAGGGACCTCAGAAAGCCCAGGGCTTTGGACACATCTCTGGAGGGACGCTCCAGCAGGTGGGGAGACACAAACGCTGAATCAGGGTCCTGGCCGGAGGGCACTCAGAACCTCTGATCTTTTTCTCAACACCTTGCTCATTAAAAACTGAGGCAGCCAGGCACGGTGGCTCACGCCTGTAATCCCAGCACTTTGGAAGGCCGAGGTGGATAGGATTACCTGAGGTCAGGGGTTCAAGACCAGCCTAGCCAACATGGTGAAACCCGGTCTCTACTGAAATACAAAAATTAGCCAGGTGTGGTGGTGAAACCGTTTCTGAGCTAAATGCTGGGTGGGGTGGGGTGGGGGGGGCAGACAGACAAGGTCGGGGCCTCCGTGAGGACAAGCTGGCAGCCAGAAGTGGAGCAGGGGCTCTTTCCAGCAGCAACAGCAGCCGGTGCAAAGGCCCTGTGGCAGGCAGGAGGGAGCCAGGGAGCAGGAGGACCCAGAGGGCGCCTGGGAAGCACTGTGGAATTTCTAAAACACAGCAGCTGTCACCCTTGCTGCCACTGTCTGTTCTCCAGATGTCGGCAGAAGGGAAAAGGGCCATGGGCTTCTAAAACAGGCATGATTTTTTTTTTTTTTTAAAGAAAGCGTCTGTAATCTGACAAAAGACAGTTTGCAGACCAGTGGAGCCACACCGGCACCTTAGAGGGGCATTTCCCAGCTCGGTCTGGCAGGGAGGACTCCTCCCACTGCCTCCCGCTCCGTCAAGCCCATCAGATGGTGTGCCCACCTTGTCCGTGGGGGCTCTGCGTCCCCACTGATGTGTGTGTTTCACATCCCGTGGGACAGGTGCCCGCACTCTTGGAACATGGGCGCTCCCTGCGCTAAACATCCATCGGTCCGTCAGCCTGAAGATCAGGCAGCGGAGGCTGTGCTCATGCTGGAGCGGGGACCACCTCAACTCGATGTGAGGGTCTCCACTGAGAAAGAAAGTGAAGGGCCGACAGCATGGTGACAGGCTGGCACTTCACTGAGTGTTAGAAGCTGCCCAGGACGGCTGGAAACTGGCATTGGGATTGTTTTAATTCACCTGCAGAGTGTTTGGATGCATTGTTTCTAATCTTCAGGTCTCTGGAAAACGTGCCTCTGCTTTAGCTGCTTCCGTTTTTCTTTTGGCGGGGAGTTGGGTTTTTTGTTTTTGTTTTTATTTTGAGACGGAGTCTCACTGTCGCTAGGCTGGAGTGCAGTGGCACGATCTCAGCTCACTGCAGCCTCTGCCCCCTGGGTTCAGGCGATTCTCGTGCCTCAGCCTCCAGAATAGCTGGGGTGCGGCTGTGTGCTGCCACACCTGGATAATTTCTGTATTTTTTATAAAGATGGGGTTTCTCCATGTCAGCTAGGATGGTCTCGATCTCCTGACCTCGTGATCCGCCTGCCTTGGTCTCCCAAAGTGCTGGGAGTACAGGTGTGAGCCACCATGCCCAGTCCTACGAACAGGGCGTTGTTTTGAAGGGCAGTATTTTTCTTTGACAAAGAGCTGTGGGGAAGGAGTACACGTGACTCCTCAGCTCTTCCAGCATAAGTTGGAAGCCAGGAAGGCGGGTGGGCTCCTCGGGGTCTCCCGCATGGCAGTCCCTGCCTGGTGTCCAGTGGACCCCTCCTTCCAGCCAGCTCTGGGTCCTGCTGCTTCCTGTGGCCTGTGAGCCGGGGACCCAGGCCACCGCCACCAAGGAGGCTGCCCACCTCGGCCAGGAAACCAGGCCACGGCGGGGATGCAGATGAGAGGGTGACCCTGCTTAGCCCGGCGCCTGCAGAGCTCAGCCTCCAGGACAGGCGACAGGGCCGCTCGCTGACACAGGCCGGGCCCTGGCTGGCTGGAATGCGTCCCCGGGAGCAGCCTTGGCAGGGAGCCCCAGACTGTAAAGCGGGCCGGAGCGCCGTAGGCCACCCTGAGCACCGCGGGCTCTCCACCTTCGTCCTGCCACGGAGACAGGAGACGCCGTGAGACCCTGGAGCGTGGAGCAGGCGGGTGTCCTTGGCTCTGGGTCCTGCATCCAGGAGGTGTTAACAAATGCGTGCTTGCTGGATGGCTCAGGGGACTGCGCAGGAATTTAGGAGTCCACAACCGTGCAGGCTGCGCTGGGGGGGGGTGCGACCCCACACCGTGGGACGGGCAGCCTGGTGGCTGCGGGCTGGCAGGCGCCCCAAGCCCTTTCCTGGGGCTCAGCCATGAGCTCGGGACCGTCTTGACTCCGCAGTCATAATTTTAAGAGTTCCTGTATTAAAATGGTGAAAGTGTGCCCGTGCTGCTGGCGAAGCAGCTGGTTTTACTGCCGCCGGGTGGAGAGCGCAGTCTAGACGCTGCTCCCTCTTCTCACCTTCACGGTGGTGTGTGTGGAAGGCAAGAGGGGCGAGACAGGCCCCCAGGCACTTGGAGGAGGCGGCTGTGGCCAGCTAGGTGGCCCTTCTCTGCCCGGCTGAGGCTGGGTGGGGGGTGCTTGAGGGATCACTGGGCTGTGAGGGGCCGCAGGCTACCTGGGCGGCAGGGAGGGAGACTTTCTTGGGCTCTGCAAACACACAGCCTGGGTTGGAATTCCAGCTCCACCACTTCCTGGCTGTGTGGCCTTGGGCATGCATTCTTACCCTCTCTGGGCCTTAAATTTCCTCCTCTGGAAAGTCAATTATTCATCAAATAAAAAGAGGAAGTGAAAACAGGCCGTTCCTCAAATAATTATGGAATTACCATACAATCCTGCAGTTTCTCTTCCGTGTGTACCCAAGAGGAACGAAAATGTGTGTCCACACAGAAACGTGGACTCCAGCAGCATCGTTCACAACAGCCAAGGGTGTAGACATCCCACGTATCCCGCACATGAGCAGATAAACAAGATGGGGTCTCTCCATACGGTGGAATATGATTCTCCATCCAGTGGAACATTATTCAGCCGTGAAAAGAAATGACGTGGCCGGGCACGGTGGCTGACACCTGTAATCCCAACACTTTAGGAAGCTGAGGTGGGTGGATCACGAGGTCAGGAGTTCAAGACCAGCCTGACCAACACGGCGAAACTCTGCCTCTACTAAAAATGCAGGAATTAGCTGGGTGTGGTGGCGGGTGCCTATAATCCCAG